ACTTCTTCCGCTGCCTCGGTGGACGAGGTATGTCAAACCAGCCAGCATAAGATGCTTGGTAGTCGTCCAGCTGGCAGGGAGATTCCTCACTGAGAAATTGCTCTTTACAAAGGACATAGATCTGGAGGGAAGATTTTTTAACACCCTGGAGACAGCCAAGCCACCCCATGAAGCCTGTAAATAAGGGAAAATGGCACGCTGGTGGTGGAGGCTGCTCCAGACAGCATGTCTGGGCTCGGACACACTTGTTTCATACTTCTGGGAGATTCTAGGAATTGTGGGCTTTCTGTCTTGATGCATTCTGGCCTCTTAGGGAGTAGGGCTTGTTTCGTTGTGTGCATTATTTTTGTACCGAGACTTTGTACATGGTTGTTTAATGGGAGGCATCATGGGGGAGACAGAGACATGGAAAGAAAAACATAAGAAATGGACAACATTGTCCATTCCTTTAGGAGCCTACACTCTAGCTTGTAAATGGAAATGAATAGATATGAAACATAAATTTGCATTTGATTACTATGGTGACAGTTTCCAAACACTTAAAGTCTTTTTCTATTTGGAAGTGATTTCAAACTACAGAAAAGCTACCAGAATAAGAATAGCGTAGTGAACAATCCAATGTACCCTTTACCTGAATTCACTTATTGTTTTATCTCATTAGCTTTTTATTTGTTATCTATATGCAAGGGTGTAGACGGACTTTAAGAATATTTTATAATTCATTATTATCTTTAGCTATTTTGGGGCTCAAACTATAACAGATTTTGCAGGTGAGAGGCACTGCTCTGGCTTCTTTGTCATTACGGCATGCCGTCGTCATGTTTTGTTTTAAAAAAAAAAATTTTTAGCACTTCTTTACTTGTTTCATCTTGTACCTGTCTTCCCCTAGCCGGGGAATCAGCCATTTCTCCAAAGACTGTTGCTTCCTTTTAATGGAAAATAGTATTAGACACCTAGATCTGGGTGCCAGGTGTGCTCATAACTACTGGGTATGTTTGCTTCTAGATCCTTTCAGAAGAGCTAGGAAACATATACACTTACAAACACATGTGCATACACATACTTACGTTTATACATATACTCATGAATAATACATCGTTTAGAAGTCATGAATTCATATCAATACCTCCAGTTGCCACCCATCCCCACAGAATTCTTTCTAGCCTTCCTCCCTTCCCCATTTCCATATCCCTCCTTCCGCAGCAGAACCCTGGCTCCCAGCAGCATTGATGCATTTCCTCATTTGTCAGTTCCTGTAATATGTCTGAAATAATTTCAGCATTGTTTCATCCATATCACTACAGAAATCCAACAAACCTTTTTAGAGAGAATCCAGGACTTAATTTGCAGTTCTTCTCTCACCCTAGTCCTGCCCAAGACTGAGGGTATCACACGAATGTTCATAAGCTACTTGTATTACTTTTGTCTTTCTCCTTCAGGGTGGGGATGGTTTCGTTTGAAATCCATTCAGATTCATTTGTCTTAATTCACTTCCGCTTTGGAGGTATTTTTTTCTCCATTCTGCCCCTGTTGATTTAATTTGAAAATTTTAATGTGTAGAACGTTAATATTCCAAAAGTCGAAACTACAGAAAAAGGCATACGTAGTAGTGTCACTCCTGCTTTTTCTCCTCTACTCCATTTTTTTCCCGTCCCTTATTTTCTGCCTTATCCTTCAGATGCATCCACCAGCAACATATGCATGTTTTCTTATTTCCTCTTTTTTCATACGCAAAGGGTAGTAGACTGGGGGCTTTTTTGTCCAAGCCCTTCTGATATCTTTTTTCATTTGGCTGAAAGCACCACAAACAGAATTTTGATGTGGAGCGAGTAGGCTTGTCTCACATATGAATTGTCAGATTTCTAGTCACTTGCAAAAAATCTGATGGTTCCTACCAACAGCTTTGTTAACTCAACTTCTGTAATAGTGACTATTATTTTATCCCTTAGTAACAGGCTTCTAAAAGAATGAATTCTTACACAAAAATGGAAAACTGTGTTTTCGTTATCCACTGATGTTGATGCAAGATTCAGTGGACTCAAGTGAGATTTTTCTGGCATGGAAGGTTTGTTGTCACGGGAATGAATTGTTTTCAAGAGAGTGATAGTACAAGATTGATAGAGCACTTGGTGGCTCATCCAGGTCACTCTGAGTCCTAGAATCTTATGTGTCTTCTTGTGTTTCTCTCAGTTCTGCTGGGATCATGCGGCTTAGAGCCCATTCAGAGCTGTTGGCAATTTTTCTCCCTTTGGTATTTGAGAAAGCTCCTCCAATTCCCCTTTTTTTTTATGCCCAGGTTTAACAACTGAATATTGTACACTGGAACTTCACATTTGCACGGTTTTGTGATTTTCATGGTTATCATCTTATTGAATGTTTTATTTAATCCCTGTGAAACAGTAGGGCAGGTAGTATGTCTGTTTTGCACATAAGGAAACTGAAGCTCAGAAAAGACAAGTGACAGAGCTGGGACTAGTATCCAGGCCTTCAGACGTAGAGCCCAGTGTGGTCTAGGAGGACCCAGGGGACAAGCGGGTTTATCACCAAGATCTTACCTCCCTGCACCTTCACCACCCTGTCTCGTAGCTGACAGGATGAGAAGTATGCCTCAGTTCTATACATCTCACTTCTGTTCAAGTATGAGGCCTTTCAGAATGGTCTAAAATCAGTTCAGAGGGTTTACATGAACAGCTTTGTTACATGAACTTTTGGGATAGTGACTATTATTTAAAATAAATGGGCTATAAGCCAGGACCTGGCAGTGTTTTTTATTCTCAGGAATTTTAGTCATAGCAGAATTTACCTGGGCATGTTCACTGTGTCCCAACAACCAAGAATTTGCAAAGGTGATGCAGCTTGTTGGAGGTTATGCATTTCTAATGTAAAAAACAACTTCATAAAATATAATATTAAAGCAAAACTCCCTTTTATAAAACCTTACAATTTCTAGGATAACTCTTTCACTGTGTTTGCAATTCATTTTTTCAAGAAGTCAGTTCAGATATGTAGCCAAAATAAGAATACCCTGTTTGTATGTTGTCACGTACACTGAGAACGCTTAAGTTCAGACTCAAAACATGCAAAAAAATTAGTACTTGGATATTTTTGGTTAACAATAGGATGGAATGGCCTTATACTTGTTCTTTACAATATATTTAAGGAAATAGATTACAGAATGCATTTTCACACGTGGCATTCCAGGGCCTCCACTTGTTGTTCAAGGATGCGATTCTGGATTGGGTGTGGCGTGTTCAAAGTTCAGATTAATTTGTCCAACTTACCCAAGACTTATGCATGTCCTGTAGCTCAGGAACCCTGGGAGGCCTAGAAGCCTCAGATCATTCTCAAGATATGGTTCGCATACCTTCTTTTTGGAGATAGAAGATATTCTGCCTCAGGAGGAAAGGTCCCTGGGCTGGGAGTGCAGAAAACATCTCTGGGTCTTCACTAACTTTGACTCACCCTGCAAATCCCTGGAGTCTGCTCCTCTGCGGTCTGGGCCCAGGATGCACTGCAGCCTTGCCCCTCCTCACTTCCCAGAGGGTGAAGGTGGGGATGGACCAGCCCGAACAGAGCCAAGCACTGGTGATGTAGGAGCACTGAGTATTGTCCTTTCTAGCAGTGGGGAGAGGGTGAAACCTTGGCAGGGACTCCAGTTTCTTATCTGAAGTGTCAGCATCACTGGGTGTTCAAGGATCTCTTCAGCCCTTGGACAGCCCAAAGTTGAGAGAGAGGAAGGAAGAGAGCGAACAGGGGTTGACTTGATGTAAGCAGGTTATTTCCCCCTTTGTCAGTTGAGTTGGTTAATGACGTCCCTGAAAGGGAGTTGTGCTGCCTCTGGAAGGCAGAAGGAAGACAGATGTGATCTCCGCTGGAATCCAGGGGGCCTGTGTGCAGAAGCTACACTGCCTGTAATCTCACCTGCTTTCTTAGCAGCTCTTTAATCTTACTTACTAAACCCACAACTTGCATAACTTGGCTGCTGTAACAATTCACGGTTGGAAATGCAGATGGTTCCTTGTGTGTGAAAACTGGTAATCATCTACCTGACTCTCAGACTTGCTGAGCAAATGTGGGGCTCTGTATGTGTGCATAGATACAGGATCGCAGACGCGAAAGGGAGAGTAAACAGTGACCAGTTGGGAACATTTGTAAGTCTGCCAAAGCCTTTCCAGGGCAGGTGTTCCCATAAATGGGCAACAAATCATACTGCCTCCTCACCTTCAACAGGGAAGACTTGGGGGGAAGATCATGGAAGGAAGCAAGGGCTAAGAAAAAGTCGTGTTTCACCAGTACTCCTATCAGGGGCGGGAGAACGGGCTATGAGGTGGACACGAGTACTCCTATCTGGAGTGGGAGAGCGGGGCCGTGAGGTGGGTCTGCCCTGACCCTGTCCACTGCTTTGCCCAGAACCTGCAGGTGGTAGGGAGGGGAGCCTGGTGTGGGCACCAGGTATGGTCTCTCCACCTCTCAGGGCTCTTGGTTTGGACAAAGGAGTCAGCACACATCAGGAATCTTGTTCCTGAAGGTATTGCAGAAGCACCGAGCTTGGTGCTCCCTTTGACTGCAGCTTGGGTCCTCCTGAGTCCTTTCTCTTTGAAGTGTGATGCCTGCTATCTGAGGAGGCTCTGGGGGGTGGGGGGCGGTGGGACCTCTCTGAGTTCAGGCCCCTGGTTGGGGATGTCAAGAGGCCTGCCAGGACAGCACATGGTGTTTGGGGCCTGGCTCCTTGGGATCGCTGAAACCCTGACAGGAGTTCATTTTCTAAGAGACGGTGCATGTGTGTTGGTGTGGTCTCTGCAGCTCTGGCACCCACAGTCTTGCTTGGGAAGACACTGTCCTATGTCTGTCCACGTGTGTGGCCCCTGTTGCTGTGCTCGTGTGGCTGTACTCAGTGCTGTGTGTCCTGCCACAAGACTGTTGTGCCTCAGGGCAGATGGCTCCTGGCGCGAGTCCCTGAGGATGCCCTAACATGTGCTTGTCCCGTTTGCCTCCCTCAGAGAATTCTCAAAGGAGAGAGAGAAAGCTAAAGCAAGGGGAGATTTCCAGAAGCTCCGGGAGAAGCAGCAGCTGGAAGAGGATCTAAAGGGCTACTTGGATTGGATTACCCAAGCGGAAGATATTGATCCTGAGAATGAGGAAGAAGGAGGAGAGGAGAGCAAACGAAATAGTACGTAGCCCCCTTCCTACTCTTGACCACACAGAGCTGTGTGCGATGCACATGTGCTCCCAGCAGCGCTGTTTCTTCCCTCTGACCCAGCCTGTGAGGTGGACGGCCTCCTTCTCGGCCGTCTGGTTCCTTCTGCCTGTGCATCAGAGATGCCAAGAGCGTTTACCTGGCTCTGAATTTCTGCCTGAGGTTTTGATTTTTAGATGTGTAGCTAGTCACCTGGCTTTATGGTTGAGAAGGGTCGGCCAGACTCACTGATCACCTCGGGAACGCAGTAAGCCCCTTCTGAGTGGGGGCAGGTGTGGTGAGACACATAGTCACCTTGCCTCACAGGAGACAAAACCATAGTTCCTTCCCTTCCCACCTTATTGGGTGGGAACATGGAGAGCAGGGTCCCTCTCCACCCTTCTGCTACCCGAAGCGGCCCCCATGTGTGCCAGCCATGGGAAGCCAAATGCTTAGCATCAGGGGCTGGGAAGAAACCAGTCCTGGGCAGTGTTGGGAGGCATGTAAATCAGTGTGTTTGCTTTGGAGCCCACCCACCTGGTACCCCACACTGACACCAGGCACCCCAGAGCACTTTTTGCCGTAGGAAGGCCCAATGCTCACTCACCAACTGGAATTAATTGACAGTATCAACCAAAATGTCTCTGTCACCATATACCTTTCCCACATACATGCTCTTACTCTTCCTGGGGCAAATCAGGTAAAAGTGGAAGTTGAAATTAAGCAGTAGATTTGACTAAGATGTTTTGATTTGTTTCAAATCTAGAATAGTTTATATTAAAGACGAATAACATAATTCAGAGGCACACGCCATTGAGAGGCCTGGGAACCAAGTCAGGCATTTCCTCATGGAGGATGGCTGAGCAAGCCCCCCTGGAGCAGAGCCCCTCGGAAAGCGTGCCGCCACTCCTTCAATCAGCAAGACGGGGTGCTGGATGCCAGGAGGACTCTTGGGGTGAAGCGGACATGTTTGCTGCAGCTGGGAAGGCAGGCCTGCGTCCACAGAGATGCAGCACAAGGAGACAGATGTGGGTTGTAAGGGAGGCAGGCAGTGTGCTGGAGAGCTGAGACGAGGCAGGGCTGCCTATCAGGCTCTAAGAGAGAGCTGTGGGGGAATTGGGCCTGGGCCTTGAAGGACGGGTGGATCTGAGATATTTCCTGACAGCTCAGTGTCAGGAGAAACATTCTGAGTCAAGGCAGCGGCATGAGGAGGACATGGAGCTGGGCAAACACAAAGCTTGGGGCGGAGTTGGTGTGTTGTTGGTTCGGCTGGAGCACAAAGGCATGTCGGTCAGGGAGAGACGAAGCAGGGAGGGTGGACAAGGCCAATATGTGTCGCTTTGTAGGCAGCGGAGTGTGGAAGCTGAGCTGAGGCCCATGCTGGGTGGGGATTCTTGACTGAGATGACCTTTCCATGTCTTCCAGCTGGGCCCTCTGAGTCTGTGCATCCACGGGGAGCGAGGGTTTCCTGTTATCATGGATGCAAATGATTGACTCAGTCCTGGGTGTTAATGGGGGAGACAGCAGAGTGCAGGCCTTTCCCCCCCACCCCACCCCCAGCTTCCTTCCAGGCCTGCACCCTCTGCTGCCTCAAGGGAGAGCCCAGGGTTCACCACCTGATGATTAGGAAACTACATGAGTATTTCTAGAGCTGGCTGTGTTTGTCAAATATTTCTAGAGTTTATAAGTGGACATTCCTTTGCGTACCAAACTCGGTGATGTCCTCTAGGTGGTTAGGTGTAAGAAGTGTCTGCACATTTTTGGCACCCCTCTCCCAGGGGCATTTGAACCAGCCTGAAACCCCAGGACCTTCACAGAGCTTTTGTGCTTGCAGTGTGGCCAGCAACAAGCCGCGTGCATGCAGCTTGGGGAATGTCTGCTGTTCTCGTTTCCTCTTCGTTCCCAAACCCCAGCCTTGATGCTGACCGGTGGAGGCCCCCCAGCCGTCTGCTCCACCTCTCCTAAGCCCAGCACGTAGCATATTGTGTATAAACCAGAGAAAGTCCTGTCCCTTCCTGAGCAGAGTCCCTTTCTTTGCTAGTTTAGGTGTGTCCTGTAGGGAGCTGAGTGAGGCCTCTTGCAGTCTGATGTCCTTTCATCTCTTTATTGTTCCACCTCTAGAAACAGACAGGGATCCATGTTAGTGTTGCTAACCTCAGTTGTGGTAGGACTGTTTTTATGGCCCGTGATTTGAGGATTAGGAATTTTCGTTGGATTTGAGGCAAGTCTGTCTTCTAGTGGTCCTGAGGGCCCATTCTTGTGTCTCAGCCCAGCATTTCCTGTGTCCTGCCACTGCCTGTAAAGAACCTGACTGTGTGATGACAAAATCAGTGCCTCTGCCTTTGGAGACCCTCCCACAGAGGGAAGATGGAGAGGCGATGACTTAATGTGAGACAGAGGGCAAGCTGGCACCGTCATCAGGAGCCAGCAGTCTACTGTGGAAGCCTAGAGGGCGCAGTGGTGCCGGCTGGTGGGAGTGCAGGGAAGGCTCCATTGGAGAGGTCGTGGTCCTGCTGAGCTCTGAGGGAGGAGCCACCTTGGGCTGCAGAAGGTGGGGAGAGCTTTCCAGGCTGAGGAAATGGCATGAACAAGGTGCAGAAGGCTACAAATGTTCAAAGCCCTTAAGTGCATCACTTAGTGATATAATCAAGGAAAGAAACGCCTTTAAAAGTTGTAGATCCGCCAGAATTCACTTTGTAACTGGGGCTCCAAACCTGATAAAGCTGCACCGTATCTCTGGAGCGTCAGCATTGTGGTTTCTGCTACCACGGTGATGTGCGACACAACCTGTGTAACCCGCTTGCCGTTTGATCCAGAGTAGCACATACTTCTGAAGGGCGCCTGGTTCTTTCTTGAGCTCATTTTGCCAGGTGCTGGGGTCCCCTGTGGAGCGAGGCTCACAGTATTTCCCAAGACATCAGAGTCCTAGAGCCCTGATGATTAGGGTTGCAAATAAAGACATAACTCCCAGGCTGTGGGAACCATGTTGCGATGTAACTGACTTAACAGGAGAGCCCCAGGTCCCCTCCAGACGAGGATGCGGGCCTCCCTGAATACATTCCCGGCAGCCCAGACCTCCTGGAGAAACAGTGCTGCTGGGGTTTCCCTGGAGCCTCCCATGGCTGCCAGCCACTCTCTTCGTTTCCCAGCCAGAAACCATAGGGGAGAGGGTTTCAGCGAGGCCCACGTGGTCCTCCCCACCAACAAAGGGTGGTTGATTCACCACCTGTACACACTAGGCCTGGTCGCTGTCATCTGTTAGCAGGCAGTAAAGTGTGAGCTTTGCTGGTGCCAGCGTCCTCCCTGGACAAGTCAGAGCCACCCCCACACATCTCACACCCCACCTCTGTTCCTGCAGAATTTCTGGGGAAGGGGATCATGGGGTGCCGCCTGGGACTCCTGACTTTGTCCGTACGGCCTCAGCATGCTGACTCCGCTGACTTCCCCTTTCAACTGGGTCCTGGATGGGATTGAGGCAGCTTCCTTCCAGACACTAGAATTAAGTGACAGTGTGAAAAGAAGCCCTTCCTGATGGCCAGGCCTTGGCTGAGGCAAATAAAGGGGAGGAGAGGAGGCCATAGCTAATAGCAGGTATCAAGCCCCGGGGAAGTGGGAGCTGGGCTGGAGGGTGTTCACTGGAGCTGGCTGCAGTTGAATTTTGTGACTTGGAATTTGGACTTGAGTGTACAGCGCGGTACCCAACATCTCTGAGTCTCAGTTTCCTTGTCTGCAACAAGGGTGTAAAGATATTTGCCCCTAGCATTGTCACGAGGACTAAGTGTTCGATAACTGGCTGTGGTCATCAGGCTTCAGTAAAACTGAACCTGAGCAGCAGCATTTTTGCAGGTTCTCCTAGACCTCTATCCAACCTCAGGATGAAGATCCTTTTAGGACCATGTCCCTGTCCTTTCCTTTTTAGAAACTGTCTGGTTCCTAAGTATTGATGGAAAACAAACCTGTTGACCCAGTCACTTTCAAGATAAGGTAGCGCAGCTTTCTGGCTCTGGAAGTCCATTTCTAGTTTGTCAACGCTAGCCATCAGTGAACAAATGTCAAATGAAGTGCTTGGAGATATGTGCACATTATCTCTTCTCTCTGATCTACTGCATGTCCCTGTCTGCATCTGTAGTACTCAACTCTTGCTATATGTGATGATCACCTGGGGAGTACAAATGCATCTGATGTCATACCCCACTTCTACCCTGATGAGTTGGTCTGTGGTGGGACAGGGCACAGCTTTATTTACAGTTCCCTGGAGGTTCCAATGCAAAGCCAGGATTGGGAACTCTTGAATGCCATCACACTGAATAGCACACTATTCTATGCTTTCACTTGAAAGAAGACAAAAGGAGAGGCATTCAGGTCCCTCACTGGGCTGTCTGGTGGCTGTGGTGACTAGCTTGGTGCATTCACAAACTATTTAAAATGCCAGTTCCATACATTTGCTGTGAGAAAGCTGGTACCACACAGTTAATTGAATGGACAAAATTCCCTTGGAAGTTAGTTCCTAAGCATTTGGGAAAATTTCAAGGATAATTTATTTAACTTTTTGCTGAGCTTCACGTTTCTTAAGAAACCCTGCCAAATCTCAAAGTGATTTTTTAGACGTGTGCAGCTGCGTCTGAGTTAACAATGGAGTTTTTCTAGGGCCATTAAAATCTGAAAGCCTAAAATTCTATTTTAAACTCTTCTCATTGTCAGTGATTAGTCTTAAAAAATAGCATTAAAAATAATGAAATGGTTTTAAAGGGAGCTCATTCTAAAATTCTGGCTAGAAAAGCAGGGCAGTTTCACTGTGGGAACTGAGAATGATCAATAGCCCCTGTAAGTGGGGATACCAATGCCCAGAAAAATGGAGGGGATACCTGAAACTCCAGCTCTGACCACCAAGAGAACCTGTCTGTGTCCTGGTCATGAAGGGTCCTAGAGGCTGTGAGGACAGCCCCTGCCTGCCTCCCCCTGGAACTCTGCCCCTCCCTGGAACTCTGCCCCTC